CCTTTTCGGCGTATTCAAGCATTAGGAATTACTTACGTGAAGGTCACAAAAATTGCTGATAATTCCGAGACACACCGCTAAAATGAGTAATTCCGTTGTGTGTAAAGACAAATAAATGTTTTCTGGCATTAACAGTAATTAATGAATAAGAACTTGGTCAGCCCAGGTCGCTTAAGGGGATTCGAGAACTAATAGTTGCTTCGTTCCTACAATCAGATGAGTAGGCCTCAGGATGTTCTTACAGTTTGTTTAGCCATGCCTCCCAAAAATACTGCTTTATCCCAATCATCGTTTTCATAAAGGCATCAAGCCTGAAGTTTTTTATATTGCAGCTACTTATAGTTATATTCAGCCTAAGTAGGTTTCAAAACTACAATAGGATCTTAACTACGAACTGCCTTAACTCTGAATTAATATTGACTTAAATGGGCACGCTTACCTAAACACATTTGAATGTGTGGATAGACTGAATATGTTGAAAATAATCTTAAAAAATCGCTCTATTTCTGACAGAGGCTATAAAAACATTTTTGTAATTTTTAGCTGCTTATTTGTGAATGTATCGCCTGTAAGCTAGAGTTGGCTAGATTTTTCAAACTTGTACAAGAACTTATTCAAAATGTGATTTGAGAACTGGAAGTAGAGTTTTTCCACAATAATATAAGTATCCTTCGGGATACCACTTTATTTCACTTAGCCCTACCTCCCAAAAGGCCATTTCATCCTGGCTGGAATGGAGTGAACCGGTCGCATCGACACCCTCAACGGGATTCGAGACAGGGTCGTGAGTATCATGACGGTACAAGTAACCACTTAACTACGTAGTTACAAGAGTGCCAGATGGTCGAGAGGTAAGCTAGGTCCCAACAAAATCGCATTGTTGAAGTGGGATCGTCGATTAAGCAAACAGTTGCTAGTCATTGCAAGAAAGAAAGTAACTCATTTTGAGTACAAGTCATTTTCGATTTCGACACCGAGATAATTACGTTCTTATTCAATTATTAGTGATAGTCCTGAAGTCTGCTTATGCAGAAAATTCTTGACTTTGTGGCAGCTTGAAGGTATATTATGAATGAAATCTATTGTTGAACTCTTTTCCATTTCGATTAAGAATGTGTGGTGAAGCGCTTCAAAGGTGGATCCCATCAGAAGACGAAAGCAGATTCCTTTTGGCCAAATGTCGATTGGCTTTACATTGACATTCTGGCTGACACTGTCTACTTTAATTCGGGTGTTAAAGTGCTGGGCTTTTTTGTATTAAATAGCAAACATCTTCGGAGCAGGGCATCATTCTGACAGCCGCATTCAAGCCAACAAATAAGGAAAACGCATAGACTTATGCCCTACATACTGTAGATATGCCCTAATTCTATGCAGTTTGCTGAGGTATAAAGTGAGTAGGTTAGTTCATGTCAAAGAAGCAAACGCGTGTGTGGTTTTTGGCCATCACGTCGAAGCACTTGCACGAAACTAACAGGCATAACTTAGAGTAAGTAGAACAGAACAGAACATCTGTCCTCGATAATCAAAATGAATAAACCCTCTTTTTTATAACTATAATTTCGTTGGCATATTAATTTCCAGTAAAGTTGATAGGCTTTTTATACGTGTGTTTGTGAGTGTGTATGTGCGTGAGAGAGAAAGAGAGAATTAAGCCATATGGAAATTGTGATTGCAATTAAAACTATGGCCAAATGATAAATGGGCAAGAGGAATATATCGTCTTCTTCTGGGCGGATCAACCTTCGAATGTCTTTATCACATACTTTCTCTCGAAATGAAAGTGACCTGGAAAATCGTGAACCAAGGTAGTCCTCGAAACCCAACTTTTTTTTGCAGAATGAAATCCATCCCTAATTATGTTTATCAATGGCACGAGAGTCGAGAGCTCATCTCGTTTCCATCGGAACCAGAGAGGTTGTCTTGTGGACTGCGTCAACAGAAACGACTAGAGGATAAAATAAATGGGCTACAGTGAGATAGACCTACGAATCTCCTCATCTCTCTCACACAAGTACACACATAAATAGTTAGAGGCAGACACAGAGATAAAGATAAAACGAGAGAGGATGAGAATAAGAGGCACATTCATACAGACACGCTGGCAAACACATACAAATATACACGCACACATAAAGAGGAAGAACGAGAGAGAAAGAGAGACACAGGCAGACGGAAGCCAACGCACACGCACACATACATATAAATATGGAGAAAGAGAAAGAAATGAAATGAGTGATACAGACATACGGATACTCACGTACACACAAGCACACACTCACACACTGACACATACATACATAAAGTAGAAGAGAAAGGGAAAGATAGACACAGACAGACGCGTACACATAAAAAAAGACAAGTGGAAAGAAAGTCACAAACACACAGAAAGAATGAGATAGAGACAAACACGCATCCAAACACATAAAAAGTGGAGGTAGTGGGGTCACTTCAACGTGTCGGATAGTCGCAGTCGTCGAACTCTGCGGACGGAATCGAGCACAGACGCAGGAGGGCTTGTCTGGAGGGTCGAGGGGAAGACAAGTGAAGACCAACAAGTTAGTCCCTTCTCTGTTTCCGACCGCCGCTTGTCTCTGTGCTTAGATGACACCAGGCCGACAAGTGATGAGAAGAGCGTCACTAGGGCATGTGAGAGCTGAAGAGCTGAGGGTTGACTTTTCCCACAACCAGAAGGGTAGGTGGGAAAATTCACCTTGTCCCCTGCATCACCCAACATGACCTCGGCTGATTAGAACTGTTGGTCATGATCTACACATAGCCTCACAGCAAATTAACTATGACTACAGTTGAGAACTGTCCTTCGGCTCCCTGTCTCCAGTCAAGAGTTGGGGGTAAAAGGGCATTTTCGATTAGCCCAAGAAGCACTTGGCCCCGTGGCTGGGCTCCGCCAACACCCACTCTGTTCTAGTCACCAGCCAATCACAACGCGCCCAAGCCGGTCCCGGGCAGGAAGAGTAACTGGATTTCGATGAATCTTCTGGGATAACTTGAAGATGTGAAGACCAAGATGTTGTGGCCTCGGGTATGGTCGCAGTCTCCTTTCGACTTA